AATCAATCAAATTCTAAACTCTCCACCATGGCCAATACCAAAGAGCTCTCCAAGGATGTCAGGGACAAGATTGTAGACCTACACAAGGTTGGAATGGGCTACAAGACCATTTCCAAGCAGCTTGGTGAGAAGGTGACAACAGTTGGTGCGATTATTCGCAAATGGAAGAAACATAAAATAACTGTCAATCTCCCTCGGCCTGGGGCTCCATGCAAGATCTCACCTCGTGGAGTTGCAATGATCATGAGAACGGTGAGGAATCAGCCCAGAACTATACGGGAGGATCTTGTCAATGATCTCAAGGCAGCTGGGACCATAGTCACCAAGAAAACAATTTGTAACACACTACGCCGTGAAGGACTGAAATCCTGCAGCGCCCGCAAGATCCCCCTGCTCAAGAAAGCACATATACATGCCCGTCTGAAGTTTGCCAGTGAACATCTGAATGATTCAGAGGACAACTGAGTGAAAGTGTTGTGGTAAGATGAGACCAAAATGGAGCTCTTTGGAATCAACTCAACTCGCCGTGTTTGGAGGAGGAATGTTGCCCATGACCCCAGAACACCATCCCCACCGTCAAACATGGAGGTGGAAACATTATGCTTTGGGGGTGTTTTTCTGCTAAGGGGACAGGACAAACTTCACCGCATCAAAGGATGATGGACGGGGCCATGTATCGTCATATCTTAGGTGAGAACCTCCTTCCCTCAGCCAGGGCATTGAAAATGGGTCGTAGATAGGTATTACCAGCATGACAATGACCCAAACACACGGCCAAGGCAACAAAGGAGTGGCTCAAGAAGAAGCACATTAAGGTCCTGGAGTGGCCTAGCAGTCTCCAGACCTTAATCCCATAGAAAATCTGTGGAGGGAGCTGAAGGTTCGAGTTGCCAAACGTCAGCCTCGAAACCTTAATGACTTGGAGAAGATCTGCAAAGAAGAGTGGGACAAAATCCCTCCTGTGCAAACCTGGTGGCCAACTACAAGAAACGTCTGACCTTTGTGATTGCCAACAAGGGTTTTGCCACCAAGTACTAAGTCATGTTTTGCAGAGGGGTCAAATACTTATTTCCCTCATTAAAATGCAAATCAATTTATAACATTTTTGACATGCGTTTTTCTAGATTTTGTTGTTGATATTCTGTCTCTCACTGATCATTTCTTTGTCAGTGGGCAAACGTACAAAATCAGCAGGGGATCAAATATTTTTTCCCTCACTGTAGTTAGGATGCATTCGATGAATTTGGATTGTGAGAATGGATCGTTTCGTATTGACACAAGTTGGAGGTATTGCAGTTATGTTCAGAGACCCCTGCAGGCACTAGTGGTGCTTCAATAACCCTACAATGTTGTGTTTAGTAACTATTATTTAATCAAACTGTGTCCACGAAACGTGACAATTCAAATCGCATGGGGGGCATGCATGTCTTCTAAACATGTTCTGCCATGACTAGATAATGTGGGATATCAAGTTGCTGCTTGAGTGAACTTGTGCTTAAAATATCAGGCTATTTCAAACATAATGGCAAGTGTTTTTTTTGTTCATAATGTCTGAGAGAAAATGAAGATCTTAACGTTTTTTGTCCACTTTTCTTGAAGTAATGTTGAGGATTAATGAAAAGCATTCTTGAATAGTGTTGCGAAGTGAGGTAACTGGTCGGTGTTGTATGATAGTATACACAGTATCCGTGCATCCGATTAATATGGATGTCTACATACCATGCGAAGTACATTGAACATACTTACATATATGGCCCTGAATGGAAGCGAGTGCAAATTTGGGATACAGTAATGTACCTATGGATGTTAGAAATGTTAAAACACTGATAATAGTTTGAAGGAAAGGCTGTGGTAATGCTGAAACGTGAAACTAAACTCATTTTTTTTTTTATTTTACCCTGTAAGGCCCACTGACCTATATAGCTCTTTTGCAGAAGCGACCTGGCCACAAATGATAGCTCAACGAAGTGGCTTATCACGTGGAAATGTATAGCAGCTAAATACTCTAAACGCATGTTGTGGCTAACTTTGGCTTAACAATAATTACAATGATGCATTTCAATGTATGAGGCCGTGCTGCAGGCCATATGCTTTATATTATTACACTGATTAGCGCGGTTGGCTACAAATGGTGGGAAAGAAGTTCAACATATATACATACATTTGAGGTCACATATTTAAGGAATAATATATGGTATTCCTTAGTGTTAATAGATGGTTGTCAATGGTAGTACAGTAATAATAACAATGCATTGCATGTATGAGAATGTATGCGTTTGTGTCGTGTGGCTTTGCAGAGGGTGGCCGCGCTCAATGCGGGTCTCGGTAATTAGGTCCCATGCGGGTACTCGCCTTGAGTTGAGGTAAGGAGTCTCCTCATTTTCTCGACTCTCGCTTTCACCATCTCCCCCTTCTCTCGAGTGCACCTTGGGAATGACATCTCCCGAAAACGAAGCTTGATAGCCAGGTATAACACATGCCCAGGGAGGGTGCCGTGGGTGTCCAATTTTATATATTTTTTCCATAAAGAACTCACACCTAGCTCCACCAACTTATTTAGTCTCATTTGTCTCGCTTACTTTAAGCAAGCGCGTAAAAAAAATCCAGCATTTGTAAGGTCATTTCCATATCGCTGTGATATTCGTTTGCAACGAATTAATTTCTTTGATTGGGGTCAGGATTCGGCATTGCTTTCATTTTTATGCAGACGACTCAAGCTCCATTCTCATTCAGTGTGTTTGCTCATTTTTTGTGGTTCGTAACGCATATGAGAAACGTGCTACACATTCGACAGCGCTTTTTGCATAAATGTTGATGAGGTTCTTTACTTTCACAAAGCAAAATTGTTCTGCATGCACCAATTAAATCTCAATTTCACATACTTAATTTTTATTTGCTACGAGGAAAATTTGGCCTTAAAATGCTTATTTCCCCAAGTGCTTTTTCACGAAATCTCTCAAGGATCACAAAGCACTGACAACTTTCCCACGAAATCTATCAGCGTATATAAAGTGTGTACACATTTTGTGGCTTCGACGACATTTCTCATGCTCATCGCTGTACTCTTAATACTTAACTTATTCCTCCGGCCTTTAATTCTACATGAATCTATTCGTACAGGGAATTATGGGCATTGTTGTCCAGGTCACACAACCACAGACAAATGCGTAATCTTGCCTTTGGGGTTTTATTTCTGCCATTCACATGAATGGTGTTTGGCGTCTGCACTGTTTGTGAAAGCACACATATCCCACGATTGTGGTAAGCCACTGACACATCTTAAAAGCAACTCCGATCTGTTGAGCAACCAAGTTCACAGGATCAGTTGCATTTTAAAAAAAATTCAGGCTGAAAATATTTTGCATCACATTTTATTTTCAAGCCACAAAACATTTTGTGTCACATTTTATTTTCAAGCCAACATTACACAACTGGGAAAACAGCTTATCTGCTGTGACCCCCATATTCGACTGAATGCATTGTTTCTTGTGTAAGTAGTTTATTCAGGATTGATTCGCATCACAAGGCCTCTTGAATTGCATATTACCTTCTATGACATGTGTATCACCAAAATGGAAACTGACAAAAATGTTTTACCAAAAGTGTGGAGAGATGCATGCTTGAAATTACATTGAGAAAGAAAGAGGAACACTTAGATGAGAGAGCAAATAAAAGCAAGAAAACAAAAATGGACTTGTACAGGACACATTTCAAGAGCGGATGATAGCGAATGGTTAAGATTGACAATGGAGTAGCAGCCAAAGAAAGGCACATGGCTGAGAGGATCATCACCATAAACATTGGGAAATCAGATGAGCTCATGTGCAGGTGCCAGATGGAGTGTTGCATCACAAGACCGTCAGGCATGTTGACAGCTTGGGGAGGTCTTCATTCAGCAGTGGATAGATCATGGTCTTCAAAAATATATTTTCAACATAATATATATCCATAACTGTTTATAGGTTAGTACAATAGTCACCCTATAGCGTGTTCATGTTTCTGCAACTTAATTCTAACTGTACTAGGATCAGTCAGAAAATAATCTACCTGATTTATATTTGTGCAATATTTGCGAATGCTCTTTTTTCTATATTCTCCATTGCTGTATTTTATTTATGTATTTTGTCATTTGTTGACACAGGTCACTCTTACAAATGAGACGATTAGTATCTTGAGTTCTCACCTGGTGGTTACACAAAACAAACTTTAAACAATCATGAACGTTGGATGGAAACTACGTTTGGACAATAACAATCTCTTGCTGGTGCTCTTAGCAACCTCAGGCTATGGTACGCAGTCTGCATGTACAGCCCGGAAAACTGTTTCAGGCCTCTATTTTTTTTATTTTTACCTTTCATTGGCCTGAACAGTCAGACAGACATTACCGTATGAGAATAGGTTTTCCCCTTTTTCTGGCAACAAAACAGGTGTTAAGATGTCAATACATCAAATTGAAACCTTTTACAAGGAATCATGTCTACATTAAGCACAATGCTTGTGGTCAGAATTCAAACAAAAAACGTACTCTGATAATATATGATGCATTGTCTTTGAAACTGATTGGTCCACACCAGAGACAGCTTTCTTTTGAGCCTAGTCTCAAAACGGTGTTAGACCAGAAGACGCCAAAATGCGTACGTCACAAAGGCAAGCACTATCAGAGTAATGAGAGCTCGGGGTGAGCATATTTGGTACTGCCAAAGGAGGTCCCATGATGAAGACATTACCGTAGTTGTGAATTGCAGATATTTTGTTTATAAGCAATATTAGTCGGTCTAAGCTACCACCTGCTGGTACAATGTGATCATTGCACGGACCAGCTAGTAAACCCCGTCGTTGCTCTTAAGCCCCCGTGGGCAGTGAATGCAATATGCTCTGCGTTTTCACCAAACACATTCCCAGTAAACACGCAACGTTGCGCCAAAGTTGATATGCGGTTTGCCCAACGTTGGCCCAAAAAGTTCCATGTTCACTGGATCGTTCTTTGGGATGTGACGAAAACGCACAGGGCCCCTGTGGTGGACAGAGGCAATTGTGGTCACGTGATGCGTGGGAAGTGGAAGTGACATGCCACGTGTTGTCGGGTGAACACGGCGGCCCGGATATCCACGTGAATGACTGCGGTGCAGGTCAGTGTGTGAGTTGCGAGTTCCCTGCTCGTACAAAAGCACCGGGCTCGTCACGGCCACGGCAATGCCCTCCCTTCTCTATGCTCGCGAAACGTGGATCCCTCCAAAGGAACATTTTGCGCCGGGTTGACACATTTCAGGCTGGCCCTGCCTGCGATCCATCCCTGGATTCGACCAGGCTGGATTGTGCGATGGAGCTGGACACAGTTCCGTCAGTGAGCTACTCCAGCCGGCAAGGCTGCGCTGGCTGGGTCATGTAGCCCGCGCTGTACTTTACGCGACTAAACGGGCGCGGCACGGGCTGGAGAAGAGATGGGCTGTTGTGGTATACAGAAGGATACCGTGGAGCCGATTGGACTTGCCGATGACCGGTACCAGCGGTGTCAAAATCGACGCCTGGAGAAGGAGGAGGAGGTTCGTGTGGGATGCTGCGGGGGGAGTTGGAGGCAGTCGCCCTCCAACAACAGCGGAGGGCAGAGGAGCGACGCTCACAGCGACGAGCGGAGCGCAGAGGCTTGGCACAGTGGGGGGGGCACAGTCGGTACAATCTGCCAGCCATCTCCGTCTTCCCCATGGCATCTGGGTCTGTCCCGTGACCTGCCAGCGGGCTCTTCGACACCTCACGTGGCCTCAAAGTGCACCTAGCATGGCACTTTTTTTGCCAAGCTTATATTAATGGGGGGGTGGGCATGATCCCACCCCGTGTAGCCTTCAGCAGACCGTAGGGGCAAGTGCTGTTAGCGAGCACAAACGAAGGCCGAGTGAGTGGGTGGCCAGCAACCACGCCTGCCCGCCTCTCTCCCCCTAGTGTCAATGTTTACAACACCGCACCAGGTACTCATTTGAGGCCCAGTCGACCTAGGGGAGGCCCAGGACCCATTCCGTTCATCATCAATTGGTGTTGGCCGTGAGCGGGAATCGAACTTGGGTCGCCGGGTTCACAGCGTAGCGCTAACCGTGTTGCACTGCGCACTCCCGACAAGGTTGGAGTGGAGGGGGTCCTAAAGGCATGGAGAGTGGCGCTGGGAGACATTGAGAGAGATGAGCATAGTGCTTTAGACACGAAAAGACACGTACCTTAGGGGAGACGTGAAGAGGCAAATACAGGGTTGACTACGCATCTCCCATTAGCACCGTTGGCTACGTACGGCGCGAAAGAAGTTCATCAACATACAGGACGCGCACTGCGAGAGTCATTTAGACATGCACGTACGAAATCAGAGCGCAGAACGTTAATGCTGGAGACAGGGACATGGGAGAAACAGAAACAAACTCCATATGACCAGGCGCGATCAGCATACGCAGCAGCATCTGATGACGGCAGCGATATTGGGACCCTGGGATGGCAGTGAATGTTATTCTGTGTCCACCCCTGGCCAGATCACGGTGCTGTACTTTGCGAAGAGCGCCGAGCTGGCAGAGACTAGGAGGGAGGTCCTCACTGTGCCGAGGCAGCTCACGTCCCGGCAGCTCTGGCTGGAGATTGTGTCTCACCATCCAAGGTTCAAAGAGGCCCTTGGGCTCATTTACATGTTTCCAGTATTTTAAAGTTGTATTAAATTATCATCATCATTAGCCATGATTAATCCACTGCCGGATGAAGGCCTCCCAAAGCCATCGCCATCTCATCTCTCACGATCCTGCGATGTAATAATCCACCTCGCACCTCCGCACAAGCCAATGTAATCACCCCACCTCATTGGTAGACGTCCACTCAGACGCGTTCGTCATCGTGTTTCATTACATCAGCTATCTGACCTGGTTCCTAGTGAGATGTTTTACCAGACCTCTGTTTTTATCAGCAAAAATCACGTTATTCGATCTGATTTAGTTGAATTAATCTGTTGTTAATCTACATCGTTGTGGCATGATTTGATCATCTTAATTTAGATGCACTTCATGTCAGAAGTCAATGGAACATTACATTGTCACAAACCAGTTTGCAACATGTATATTTATATTTAAAACATTTAAACGAGAAACTACTGGGAACACTAAACCTTATTTTTCACAGGTGGTGCAGTGTTGACGGGCCTTAATAATTATTCTGTTGTGATGGGTTGATGATAATCATTCTACACCTTCACCATGAGAAGTGGGTTCACCACAGGAAACAATAACACTGAATTTAAAGGAAACATATAATAGAGGTGACGTTTCAGGCAATCGCCCTTGTTCATAGCACATCAATAAAAAGGCCAGAGAGATAGCGTGGATAAAGGTTGGAGACTGCACTTTACACCATGGGGCCTAATAAGAATTACTTTAAAAATGTTTCCTAACCACAGGAAACAGACTCGGATGAGTTACTTAATTTATGGACCGCAGCCAAGACCCAATAGAACAATGGGAATGTTTACTCTGAGTAAGGGATGAGGAATAAAGTGAACAGCAGTCAGTGATGGCAGGCCATTGTCAGAGATTCACATTTTCTTGTTGCCATGCCCATACTTTGCCCCCAGCCTCCGAGTGATTGAGCAGAACCTGGTCCTCGCCGTTGGGGAGCAGTACGTCTCCTTGGGTGACGAAGAGCTTCTTCTTGAGCCAGGCCAGGAGGTGGCTCTTGTGCCCCCGCTGAGCGGCGGCTAGCGGCAGGTAAGCAGCGATAACAATACAAACATCATCATCATCAGCCGTGGTCAGTCCACTCCCCCAAGCCGCTACCACCACCTCTCACTATCCTGTGTGGTAATAATCCACCGAGCACCTGCACACAAACTGATTTCATCGATCCATTTTCTCAGAGCGCATCCTCCAAATGTGTATATACACTGCAAAATATTAACTCCGAACATTCTAAAAGTGTTTATATATGTCTTCACGTATAAACCAATATTTTTAGTACATCGGCCTATTTACTCTCCACGCTAATATTTTCAAGTCAAGAGGTGAATGGACAAAATCATTTTATTTAGAGAGAACAGAGTTCAGTTTAAACATGCTTTTTCCCATAATTCTCCACAACAATGCTGTATTAGCTTCCTCAGCTCCTGAATCTCCCAGCACGTGGAGCAAAACGTCAGATATCTTGCTGATAAATTCTCAGTACAACCCGAAAACACATCGGAGAGCCATACAGCACAACTGCGTCAACCTATGCAGTTGTTAAGGATATTACTATTGTTAACTGCAATTGTTACACCGACAGTGTTTGACAGGTACGGTGTTTGCGCGCAGGCCATGGTGGATGCTGCAAGCCGCCAGAGGGATGTGGTGACACTGTCGCACCACAAGCTGAGCGTGGAGGAGGCAGTGGCGGCCGTTACCGCCCCGTGCTGTGGGGCTGTGTCCCTCTTCATCGGCAAGTCAGACACGCTGCAGCAGCAGCAGCAGCAGCACATACAGTAACAAGTCTATAGGCATGCCGAGGTAGCCATGTGGCTCGGGGTGCGAAGCTGGCACTGTTGAGATCCTGGGCTCGAATCCAGGCAGCTGCCTGTGATTAAACCGGGTTCTCTTGTGTAGATGGTCTTGAGCCAGTGACCAATCTCTGCACAAAAGAACTCCAACATTATATGTTGTATAAATTTCAGCTTTGGAGGATTAAAACTGTCAGTTTGACTGTCATGTGACAAACATTTATGTGTGTAGTATGGCGGTTAGGAAAGTATCACTCCCGACTGTGTAGAAAGCAGTCTCTTAAAGGGATCTCAGAAGTAGGTATGTTATCTCCTGGTATGGGTCATTGTCTAGCATGGGGTAATGCACTGCTCTGAGAGAGACTGGAACAGATTCGTCTTGTGACATAATGCCGTTATCACAATCAGTAGACATTCTAGCTCACATCGAATCGTGTGAATGAGCATTAATTATTATTTATGATTTTATGCAAATTCTATGCAAATGTGACGTTATACATGACTGGAGCTCACAGACTTACAAGCGAGACAGAATTTTATTTGTAAAAATAAAAAAATAGATTATAAAAACAACAAAATATAGTTAAATAACCTTGCAACCCAAAATTGTGACAATACATAACAATGGGGGGGGGTGGTCAATGGTCATCTGCCTACAAATCAGTACACAATACGCATTTGCTGGCTTGGCAGACTGTGCGTATCCATAGATACGACACGTTATTATTCTATACAGTTTTGCACTTTACTCTTCTTCAACACATTCGTGTGTTTCATTGTACTACTATCATCGTTGTCGTCGTGTCACACGGCAAACAAGTATCCATTCCAAACTCACAACCAGCAGTGCAGCACCCTGTGTCAGAGAAGGGCTCTGGTAGGTGATGTCTAAAAACTATTTTGAGAGTCACTTGAAAAGGCCTCTATTCACCAGTGCAGGCTTTTCTTGTCGAACTAAATGCTGCTGTAAAACATTTGTCCAAAAGTGCCATTTTGGCCAACAGCCTCAAAACATTTTATTTTGGAAATGAAACGAGGCATCTTACGTCTGCGTGGGTCTCCCCGGTTGTGCTGTATAGCTCTCCGATGGGTTTTCGGCTTATACCTTGTTTTGTTCGGCATGAGGTTCCAATTCAGCTCCTGAAGAAGCTCCCAGCATGTGGTGAAAAACGTCGAACATCATGCCAAACTAATGCACGGTACAACACGAAAACCCATTGGAGAACTAGACACCTTGTTTTTTGTTCCTTCATGTTACTTCATTCTCAAATGTGTCACTCGCATGCGTTTATTGACATGTGCCGACCGTTGCCGTTGCGGTAAACGGGGTTGGGGATGCTGTGATGTATGCAGGCGTGAACCGCGACAGCTTTGAGGCTAGGAGAGTGGTGGGCGGCTGGAGTACGAGGCCTACGAGTCCATGGCGATTACGGAGATGCGTAAGGTGTGCGCAGCGATGCGCCACCAATGGCCTGCTGTGGAGTACATCGCAGTGGCTCACCGGCTCGGGTTCGCAAGCGCAACCAATCACCCGTTATTTTTCAATAAATATCAACATCAACAATAATGCACATTCGTGTTGTGTCTAAATGCAAAAGCATCTCAAGACGCTCTCACGCATGTACGTGGGTGGGGAGCATTGGCGCAATGGCCGACACAAATGGTAAGCGGTATCAGAACTTGTCCTGGGCCTCTCGTAGCTCTTTTCCTGCCTTAAATGAGTACCCTAGTACAGTATGCGAGCATCTAAACTTGCGGAGTTAAAGGTAGGTAGGCCTGGGTCCGGCAACACCACCCCGGCGTGTGCCGCTGTTGCCTTTCTTAATAGGTGCCCACTTAACAGGACTTTTCCCGACAGTCCTGCATTGCCGTACATTGCACATTTGGCTATGTACGGCGCAAAATAAGTTCAACAGACATACATTTGGTTTTGTGCAGTGTGGTGCAGTGGAGGAAGCGAGCGTGGTAATCGCCGTGTCATCCCCGCAATCGCCGAGACTCTCTCGATGCCGTCAGCTACTGCATTGACAGCCTCAAGGCCACAGTAACCCATCTGGGAAGAAGGTGAGTAGGAGCTTGTTCTCTCAGAATGAAACCAATCTGCTGTCTCTCTGTTGAGTCACTGTGAATATTAGAGCAGCAGACCTGTGAGGTCAACTATACAGTTACTCACTTATCGGCGGACGATTGCCGTAGTGGTAAGGACACTATTAGGTATTTGTTTATTCATTGTGATCTTATTGTACAGCACCGTCAGATGTTTCTGTTCCTGTTTTTTATCGTAAGGATTATAAAATATACATTTTTAGTGACAAGTGATTGCGTTATGTTCACCTGTTTCTTTAAAGTAATTTGTACACTATTATTTTAATTACTATTCCTTAATTTATTAAATATCTGTTGCAGCGCTTTGAGGTGAATTTTATTGCTCAAAGGACAATCTATAAATAAAAACGATCGATTGTGTTATGAATCCTGGCGGATATGAGTTTCATTCCCTGCTACGGTTAACGTGATGACGAATATCTGACTGGTCTGGGTACTCTGACCTGGTCCTGGGTCTCTGACCTGGTCCTGGGTCTCTGACCTGGTCCTGGGTCTCTGACCTGGTCCTGGGTCTCCCCTAGGTCGACTCGGCCTGTTTACTTCATTGCCACTTCGCAATACACCTCAACAAACATGATATAATTTGTACTTAATAATGATATGCCATTCAAATAATGAAAGCTTTCACAAAATTTGTGAACAGATTTACTGGATAAAGATTTACCTTGAGTAAAAACTATTCACATGCGTCATTTGTATTTTGATAAAAAAAAAGTTTCATTGTTCTACTCAAGCTTATGGTGTTAAGCTTGTAGAACACTTGGCAATTTGTGTGAGCAAAGTTAAAGTTTACCACTGTCGATTTAAGGGGCAATTCTGCATGTGGATTTACAAGGTTTTGTGTTTGGATGTGCAGGAGGTGTATGATACAGACGAGTACTCCTGGAGGGAGAATAAGGAATGCACTTGGGCCGAAAAACAGGAAAAACACGAATGCGGCACAAATGTACGAGACTCTGAAGATGCAGTTGACACATCGTCGTGAACTCAACGCAGTATTAACATGATCGTGATTCTAAGTTCATTTTAAATATAAAGTAATGATAATTGCGTTTTAGTTATTAACAGTTGGACATTTTCCTGGCCTCACTGGAGATTACTTGTAAGGATACAAGATAGATTACACCAGCAGTATAATGCAACTTGAATTTATATATAGTGCCTAAATGGAATGAGACACACACTACTAACTCAGCATTTGTTTCTTGATTGTTGGCTCAATTGTGTAATTGGTCTGGTGTTCATATCTAACCTGGCTACTCAGAGTCTTAAGGCTTAAGCTGTCTTAACCTCGGGGTATGCTGAGTGGGAGGTACAATATAAATAATACATTATGCACGATATGTGTTTTAAATATTGTTTATTTGCGTTCAGTTGAGTATACGCGTAAACATTGTTTCATGAGATTAATTGCAAGATAAAGTGTAATGCCCTCGATCCTACCCTCTTTGTACAGCCATGTACCAATTGCTTGGTGAGGTCATTGTGTGCAGATCTAAATGCCTCTGGCAGCTAAATACTGTGGCCCCCAGCAATGGGAAATCTCAATTCCAAGTGGCACTGACAAAACACCACTTTTCTTGTGGTTGTGCAAGTGGGGTGGTCCCAGCTCGTGACCTGCTTGGATGATTATTACATTGAAGTTCTAACGAAAAAGCTACCAGATGCAGAGCATTTTATTATTTAACTCTGCTGATTGGGTGGGTTTAGCAATTAAGCTGCGGTCCCCAACGTCTGGCCAGCATGGACATATTTATGTAAGCTCACGTCACATTGAACCCACCTGCCCAAGCCAAATTCGTAAGTCCAAGTTCAGGGTGAGAATCGTTATCAGGGTAGAAATTCAATGAGTGTCCTTGGTGCATTCATTTGAGGCCATTACCCTAGATGCCTGTAGAGGCAGCTGAAGCAATCTTTGCATCACAAGTGAACAGAAAATATTTGCCTTCGTTGAACTCTAGCGTTAATGATCGTTACCTTGTAGGATGGGGGCAGTGAGGAAGAATGGCCCAAGTGATTTAGGGGAGCTGAGAGCTTCACTCGTTGAAGGTAAACTCATGTGACAGGTCAGAGGGAAATAGTCGATGAGTAACTTGGGGGCCCCCTATTTAATGGCAGGCCCCCCGTGGTAGTGTTCAGAAGCCTTGTGATGGCCTGGTATGCAGGTCAGCAAGGTTATTTGTAACATGGGAACTATGGCAACCAGGATGCATACACCTTGACTCACATTGCAGAGGGGAACATGGCTAATGATGGGTTAAGAATGTGTGTATAAGAAAATAATTGTTTAGCTAAAACTGCATGCCCCTTCTCTACAAAAAACTCGGTACATTTTTTGTGTAATAAGTGTTTCATTACACAGCACTTAATAAAGGAAGTGCATGATGGCATTTAAGCTAGATTTTTTCTTTAAAGAAGACGTACATGAATAGTAGACAATTTTTGGCTGGTCATATATGTGCTTTTTACAGTTTTGAAATGCCAAATAAATAGGAAAGTTACGTTTTAGAAACATGAGGGGGGTGTAAATGGGACTATATATGGTCTAACTGGACATCAGCAAAGAGCACTTGGTGGTAGACCTAGATTCAAATCCTAAAAGTAAAAACAATTCCAAGGTTTTTTTTGGCAAATGAAAACAAATTCTACTTTTTGGGATTTCTATAAGCATATATTTGATTGCGTTTGTGCTAAATTTCAGCTTTCTAGCCTGTATACAGTGTCATGAAAATGTAAACCAATTAACTCACAAGCAGATATATACACATCTTTTTGTGTGGCACTGTCAACGTTTGGAGGAGAACTGACGTGCACAATGTGTGTTATCGGTGCCGGCGCCGCTCGTAGTGCCCCCTCGTGGCAATGAACCGGTAACCCACCGGCCACGATGACGAGTATCGTACAAAATGTTTGCGTTCGCGGTGAGAAGGTGGTGGGGGCTGAATTCTTTTGGGCCTTTTTGTCTTTTCGTGTGGAGGAAGTTGACTCAGCCGAAAGCGAGCACTTGGTGCGGTGCCTAAAACATCGGCACTGGGGTGACATAAGTGGTCGGCTGAGGGGTTTCCCGCCCACCCCCTCGTGCACAGTGCCGGCCTTCATAGTTGCTCGCTAATAGAATTTACCGCGACATACTGTCGACGAGACCGGAGATCTAATCTCTTTAAAGAAATAGTATAGGAGTCAAGCAAAGGACATCCGTGTCCCACATACACCGCAAGGTGAACAGGGAGTGGCCGTGCAGATTTAGCTCTCGGCTTGCTCACCAGCATGAGTGCCCTTAATTATCATGAGCAGAGAGAGTCGGGGAGACCCTGAGAGCCCTTCCTCCGTCGACCCCGACATTTCCCATCACTCACCTCACCAATGATGGCCCACACCGCTCACCAGACACCTTTCACCTATGACTGATGAACGAAGTGTTGACGGTACATGCTGAGAGTGAGCGGCACTTTTCTGTGATTGATGAGCGTGTGGTCGGTGTTTATACTGAGCGGGTCGTTGTTATTATTATTGCACACTGGTGTAACGCCTCCGTCCATCTATAACAGGGGGTCTACAACCTGCGGATTTGGTGGGCCGCGTGGCGACTCTTTAAAGGACTAAAAACTTGATTTGGAGCTTTCGTGACTGCACGAATTACTTTTTGGTTCTTTCGGTAAAGTCACGTAGAAGGAAAATAAATTAAATGATAGAATGCGACGTTTCGGTTGCAACACAAGCAATCGTCATCAGGTACGAATGAATGTGAAAAAAAACCTAGTAAACTTAGAAATATAATGCATAACACAGAGAGTCGGGTGTTGACTTATGTTAGCCGACTCTCTGTGTTGCATTGCATTATATTTCCAAGTTTACTAGGTTTTTTTTCATTCATTCGTACCTGATGATGATTGCTTTGTGTAAGTTGTGTTGCAATCGAAATGTCGTCTTCTATTATTTAATTTATTTTCTTTCTACGTGACTTTACCGAAAGAACCAAGAAGTATTTAAAGGACTGCTTCGTCAAGTTATTCGCATGCATTGCGGCTTTTAAATATTGAGAGGGGGGGTTTACAGAATTCCAAAACAATTACTCTTCGTGTTATTTTGGTTAGAGACCCCTGAACGGGTTTTTTTACAGAATTAAAAAACAATTACTCTTTATGTTATTTTGGTTAGAGACACCTGAACTTTACGATACAATAAGGCATCGATGCGACGACAATCAGATGCAATAGCACATTTTATCCAGAAGACGGCGCACCACTCATTGCGATTCGCGGGCGGTTTACTGGGATTTGTGTCGCTTTCCAACTAAGGTGGAAGGCATTCATGCATTAGTCCCGTCTGTCTGCAGCGGGGAGTGGGGGGACAATAACTCTTGTAACGATGATCCATATTGAACTACATATTAGTGCCAGGTTGTGTTGCCATTAGGGACTTACCCTATCGATAAACAGGCACAAATTGACGTGCTGCCGTCTTGTGCGGCTCGGAAGATAATGTGATGGTACATAATCATTAGCCATGATCAATTTATCTTCGTCGTCATCAGCCATGATCAATCCAACAATAAACGATGTAAATTACGAGAGAAACCCATCAACTTCACAAATTACGGTACAGGCCGGAAAACCATACTCACAAAAACGTCTAAAGAGCCTCTGCTCATGCAAAAACCTTCAGCAGTTCCTAAAGAAGGCCATTGTGGTCCTCTTCAATCCAATGCTCGATCAAGGCCCCTCCCCAAGCTGCCGTCATCCCCCTACGGTCCTGCGATGTAACACGACACACGGTACCTGCACATGGTCTGATTTCATCGCTCCATCTCCCCGGTGCATGTTCTCTCTCTCGCCGGCGTGTTCACTCGCTAAGCTGCCACTCTGTCATTATTCTCGACCATCAGGCACAATCCCTTCTAACGACGGGTCTTTGTCAAGGGCGGTCTGTCCATATAGGCGAGGAAGTACGCGGTCGCCTAGGGCGTCAAATTAAGTGGGGTGCCAAATTCGAGGGAAAAATATACAAATACAAAAAAGAACGAAGATGCCATTTCAATTCCCATGCGCATACAGAGGGAATATGACTTATAATTAATTTCTGTATATTTATGAGAATATTAGTTGGACAGACGGACTAACAAACCGAACACGTATGCCTCTGTTAAATAAAAAAACATTTAACGGAAAATAAGGGCAAAATGTTTCCCAGTTTACCAAAAACCTCAGCCGAGATCTACCCTTGGGATTTGGGGATGGAGGCACCGACTGTATGGTTCGCCTGGGGCTCCAGTTGCTGGCAGCTAGTCTAGGGCGGCCCCTTGTCTTTATCCAAGCCCACTTCTATGAGGTTGATGTCAATAACCTGCGTATACTCTATGAAGTCTAAATCATGTCTTCTCTTTTCTGTCCCTTAGTGTAATTTTAAGCATGCACCTCTCGATGCTCCGTTTTTTGTTGTTAATGTCCGTGATGAATGTCAATAACTGAGGATGGGCCAAACATTCATATTGTACATCGGTAACATTGACTAATTGGTTCTGATATATGGAGGTTATGCTTTTGATGTGTTTTACGCTGGGATAAAAAGAGGCTGAACATTTATTTTGGCTCTTTGATGAAGAAAAAACACTGGTCCCTTTCCAAGCATTTAACAGGCGTGTATAGATTGTAGATTGGTTTAAAGTTCATTCTGAAAAGCAGACGCAAATTTGATATTGGTTGAGACTTAAATATTTTTTTTAAACTATGATTTAGTTGACCAGGTAAGGTCCACTGAGTTATATAGCTATTTTAAGAAGCGACCTGGCCACAAATTATAGCTCAATGAAGTGGCTAATCGTGTGGAAAATTATAGCAGCCAAATAATCTGAATGCACGTTGATTCTAAATGTGGAGGGAAAAAACTGGAAGACCTGGAAGAATATCCACGCAACCACGAAGAGAACATGCAAACTCCAAATATACAGGCGTCAGGGTCGGGATTGAACCCACGCACTCCTGTTTCCCAGGCGAGGTAGTTAGAGACCCTGCAGCAACAGCCTTGTGTCATTGTATAATGTGGAAATTTGTCATTCTTTTTTACGTTATATCCTGGAAAGTAAACTAAGGTTGTGTTTAGTGTTGACCCTGCAACCCCAGTAAACAAGGAACGTTAGGCAAACGTTAGTCCAATCACATGCTCACGTTTGCCCAAGGGTTGGCGTGCTTACTGGGACAACAGCCCTCTCTGTCTTTTGATTATGTTAATAATCATTGCTTTTGAATATTAATATTATCCATTCCTGCAAATAGTTTATTTAAAAAAAACACCATGAGAATCATACATTTTTAATTCCAGTCTTTGAATGTACATCGCTGGTTTCATTAAAAATATTGAGTGTGATATATCAATGTGTTTCTTTCAATGTCCCAAAACCTATTAAAAACAATAATTACGAGGACAAGTGCGTGTTGGAAAGCATAAAAAACGTGGACATGCATGAGTCCTTGTTTTACATACTGTAGCTCGCAGAACATCGCAAGTTTCTAATTGTAATCCCATAAGTCCCTGGTTTCTTATAGCACGAATAAGCCCTGTACAACAAAAATATCTCAAGTATAAATTACACTGTTGACCAGCATTACGTTTTTACTGATTAAATATATTGTGGCAATTTGAGGTAAAAGGCGTCATCTATTGATGTTAAATTCAGTCGTGAAAATTCTTAAGTCACAGGTGAGCAGATATATTGATCAGAATTTAATCAAGACATTGGCACTTGTAAATACTATCTGTGTAACCGTGGAAATCGTGTCAGAAGCGATCATAAAAAAACACAATTCCCGATCAACCGCAACTCCTATGATCTGTCGAGTTCGTGGGGTCCATAAAAAACCCTATTATCTGCAATTATCAGCCGTTTTCCCACCCTGCTTTGCAATTATTCACGAATAAGGGGAGTCACAATTAATCCGATTATCCTGCGATTTTTTTACGGATAATAGGATCGGCAATATTATTCCCTTACGTCACCATGGATAAGACGAGTTCTGTACATACACGCAGTACTACACGTGTGTGTGTGTGGACTACAGAGGGTACAATTTAGCATGTAATATCCCACCCCCACAGCGAGGTGGCGGGGGAATATCTTCCGGATCTTCAGCCCCGGGCAGCACCGTCTCAGATTTAGCCTCTGTCCACCCGGCAATATAAATGCGCAACACCACGGTTATAGTCGATTGGCAGGTCACGCGTCGTGGCGTCAAGTGTGGGTATACTCCCACCTCTTCTAAACTAAACTCTTGCAAGACGGCTGACCAGCGTATAAGACGAGTAGGCCAAATACAATCTCCGCAGGTGGAGGGCTCTGTAGACCTTAGCCTCCCTATCGCTGGGGTGGAGGGGGGAGGCCCTTTTGCCAGCAGTG